ACTCAATAGAAATATTTTAAAATAAACGAGAGCTTGCATTTGCTGTAAATGTACAAAAACAAAAAGGTTGTTGTGTAAATGTACTTAATGATTCCATAGAAATATGTGAAAAGTAAACAAATCTTTGCATTTACTGCGAATTAACTAAAAACTTTTTTGCTCTTTAAATTTTATGGAATGGTTCTCTAAAAGTATTTTGAAATAAACAAGAGTTTGCATTTTCAGTGAGACAACTAAAAAATATTCTTATTTTGTGTTTCATCTGGATCCACTTGAGAATTCACAAAGAATCAACAACTGACATTGTCTCCAAATAGAATTTTAATGAAATATAACTGAAAATATAACAACTTTTTATGAAGCTGGCAAACTATTTGAGTAACTCTCGCTGGAAGCAGATATGTATATCAATGCCTGGAGCGCGTCAATCAAGCAATTGAATTAGTTTTCGAGGTTTCCGTTACGGCTATGGATTTGCTGCTAGTCTTGACCGCTGATTCGCCTCGGACGGTGCGGTTATGCGATGCCACTGAACTGATACTCTCCTTTCCAAGAACTGAAGCAACCCACAGTGGCAGTGGCAGTGGCAGTGGCAGTAGCAGTGGCTGTGGCAGTAGCTTCAGGGAGCGTGAATTCTGATGATGACATCCGCGTTTGATGTTGGCCATGATTTGATTGACTGCCCGACTAACTTAACTTAGCATGTAGCTCAACCACTCGTCCCGCCCGCACCCTTCTACCCCGGTCGGTCTGTCTTCATGGCCGTTGTAACTCGCCAACTTACCGCATAAATACATAAAACGAGACGAGTAGCTCGCATATTTGTAAGTGATTTGCATAACCAAAGGCAACAATCCAAATGCTATGCATTTAGCAGTGCTCCATTTGTATCTCTAAGATACTTTTTACCTCTGTATTTATGCATGAGTTTGCACGGTAGCAAAACACAGCATATGACTGACTGAATATTTGTCTGTCTGCATCTGCATCTGCATCTGTATCTGAATCTGTATTTGTTTGTGTCATTGTACCTTAAGGTTGTTGCCACCAGTTGAGAGTGTTAATATTACTCTCTTACCGCACTGATCAAAGCTATCAAGCGCTGTCAGCAATTGATATGGATACGGCTATAAATTATAGATATGGATACAAATATGTCTATGTAGATATATTTATGTAAATATATATATAAATATATTAAAAAAATATACTAATTACATTTTAAATTAAGATACATTTAACAAATACAATATGCATAATAATTAATATACAAATACAGAGACAAAGACAGATTCAGATACAGCATAAAGATACGAAATTTAATCACAAGCCTTGACTTGAGGATTTAATTTTTTTCTTTTTGTCCACTCTTAATTTTTTGACCCAACCTCGCACATTGAAAACGTTTTATTCACTTTTCAGTTCCCTTACCAGAAAAGCCCTCGTCCCCCTCCTTCCTAGCCTTCAATACTTTCGCATTAAATATGAAAAATCAATTTCAGATTCCCTACAAAAACACTTCTAACCACAGCATCAACGCCACACACACATACATGGAGAAGGGACTGATGGGGGGATGGGGGATGGCAGGCAGCACATGGCAGTTGGCATAACCAGGGCACTTGCAGATTGCAGATTGCAATTCTACTGCAGCCCTCGCCACATAACAGTTTATTGTCGGCCTGTGCTTCACACACACATACGTAAGCGTTGCATATGCATGACAAGGGAAGGAAGTGGGGGAAGGGGGACTGGATGGTTGTGCTTGGGTCGGCACGCCCCCATTTTACATGTCTTTATTAACGCTTAGAGCGACCAGCTTTTCCCCGCTTGGGACTTGGACTTGGTATTTGCATAAAATGTGCATCGACTGCGGCGGTTGTTTTAAATGTTGATTTTCTGTTGCTGTTCTGCACACCCTGTAGCCATAAAATGGAAAAGAAAAGAAGATACACTCGAAAAAAAAATGGACTGAATTTTAGAAAATGACTAACCTTTTTTTATGTGTAGATATAACCACCATTACAACAATATTTGTATTGTATTGACAACAGCTTTTTAATTGTTTATTAAACGTTTGTATTTTACAATTTAACATCTACAAACGTTTTAGATGGTTTATAAAATTGATAACATTTGATTTGTGTTTTACGGGTATCTGTTAGCCGAAACATGCCACTTGTTTCTATATCGTTTGGTTTTCATAACTCTGTCCTGGAATTTTCAGTCTTTTTTTTTTGAACCCTTTTGCAGTCATTTTTAATGGAATTTATTTGCGGCATGGCAAAGTCGAAGTCAAGTGCTGAAAGTTGGCGGCAAATTAATGAAGTTTTTCTGGCATATGATTAAAACTTTGCACTCAGTTGCAGTCCCATTTTTTTTTTTTTATCATGTGCGGGTGTATGAGCAGCTTGGGTTGGGGGTGTGGGAGACGGAGGGTGTGTTAGGGCTTATACATTTGAAAAGTTAGCCACAAAACTTTTTTCCACGTTACATTTTCATTTAAATTTTCTCGCTGTTGCTGCTGCGGATGCTTTTGCTGCCTTGGCTGCCTTGGCTGCCTTGGCTGCTGTTGGCCATTACAATAATATCTTTTGGTTACATTTTGTGCGCTTTCAATTCCATTCGCCACCTTCCCATTCCCTGGCATCATGCATAGATTTGACCCAGTTATAGTGCCGAGATCACGATTCCAAACATTTGTTTGTTGCTCTTTTTTAGCTTTGCTGTGTTCCTTTAGCATTGCTTTAAGCTCTTGGCATTTATTATATTTTGTTTGTTGAGTTTTGCGTCTTTTTTAATTGTCTTTGCATTTGCTTTCTGCCTTCAACTTTTGCTGTGTACTTTGTTTGGTTTTAAAACAACTAGATAAACAGCCAGAGGCTTAATTTATTCAAATTGTTATTTTTGTTTGATAAATTATTTAAAGCCATTCACTCAACTGTTTTGTGGCTATTTTGTCCAGCTGCCCAGGCTTATTTACTCTCCATCGTTGTACATAAGGGGAGTTGAGAGTTGAGTGTTACGTGCTGAGAATTACGCTGATAAATAAGGACTTAGTTCTTGTCGGATCAGAGCTTTAAGTGAGTTGGAAATTTAAAATGCTAATTGTTGTAAATTTAGGATGGAACAAATTTCCTTATTTTGATTGTACTACTTATACAAAGTTGGAATTATTTTGATCATAAATATTCAGCTAGACTTAACTATGAATTAAATATAAAGTGTTTATATAACTCAGCGATATCTTATGATCATATCGTATTTAATTTTATTTACAAATTCTAATTTAAATTTATCTAGACTCACTTTTTTAAATTAATTTTTATTTAGACTTAAATATGAATGAAAAAACATGAATTTAATTTGAATACATATTATTACTATTTTATATTTAATCCTATACAAAATGATCAAATAATAATTTATATATATTATAAATGAAAGACTTTTAAGCCTTTCAGGTAAGTTTCCTGTGGCAGTTTTTTTCCCCCTTTTTCGTTCTATCAATTTCGAGTCAATAGTTTCACCTTAGTTGGGGTTCAAAGCGAACGTGTCTCTCCTTCTCTCGTTAGGCTTTGACAGTTTCCCTAAGCGTTTTTTGTTTACCGTTAATTGCAATAGCGATTCCAGCTAATTCAGTTAATTCGCACCCAAAAGCAGCCTAAAGGAAAGCGTTTTCTTTTTAACTGTATTGTTTTGTTTTTCTTTTTTGCTGATTTTTTCTTTAAGACAACTGGCATCAGGCAACAAATCGTGCCGTTCAGGGCCTGGGCCAATGGAGGCGACGGCTTTTTAATTGACAGGCTCGGCGAGCGGGCTCAGTTCAATCGTGGGAGGGCCTCCAACCGTGATTCGCGATGGGAACAAAAAAGGTCAGTCCAGGTAGAAAAAACCAGAAGAGGAAAAAACGAAGCGCAGCACAACACACAACATTGTAAGGCCTTTCAGACAGCTGGCTTGCATTGACTGGAAGGAAATTGTGGAGCCGCTGGCAGCAAGAGCAGCAGCTGGTCTCGCATTCGGTCCGTTGTCGGGCTGTGAGGGGGGTGTTTGGGTGAGGAGAAGATTGACTTGATTAAAGATTTCACACTTGATTAAACACTGGCCCCGTTAGTATTGCTGTTGTTGTCGTTGTTGTTGTTGCTGCACAGCTCCAATTGCAAGTTTCAAGTTCGTTGCTGCAATTGATGAACGAATGTAGTCAATCTTTTTATTCATTTTTGGCCTTTTGTTTTTGGAATTAATTTCCGAGGTTGGCAGCTGTGTGAGCTGCTTTTTATAGCAGTCGCTTTAATGTAGTTTTTTCCGTTTGTTTGAGGCGCCCAACAACAATGAAAACAACGCCAGCAGCCGCGATTTATTTCTAAAGCAAAAAGTTACAGCAATAAATGTGCAATAGTTTCAGGATAGATATCGAAAAATGAAACTAGGACCTTGACATTGCTTTGACTTGGGTATAACTTAGCAAATCAAGTTAAACTAGCTTCAAGCGGAAAGTTTCGTTTGATAATTGATTTTGTTGTTTGCTTAAATATTGGATTCTACTTTAAGAAATTTAACATTTTAAGCTTTAAGTTATTTTGTATTAGTATGAAAAGTGCTGTGTACTTGGCAGGAGCTATATCGATTCGACTGCTGATTCTGATTCTACTCCGAGAATATACATTTATTTTATAGTGTCGAAGATGCCTCTTTTGCTTGTTACATACTTCCACACAAACCCATTATAATCCTTTTACCCGTTTTATATGGGTTCTTGGTATAAAAATAAAGGTTTGTTAATATCACTTGAATACATTTTGGGAATTTCTATTGAATACTTGCTTGAAGCTTGAAGGATTCATACACACCCTGTCTCTTAAATATGTTCCATGTAGGATATTATTATCTAACGTATCTGTTATACATTTTTACTGAAGTCTGTCCCATTATTCTAGATACAATAAATGTTGACTGCAAATTGCTAATGACACTAATTTTTGTTTGGTCTTTTGCAGCCCTGTCGCTATCCACATTTCATATTGAGTGGTAAGTGACACCAGACATACACCAATACTTTAACGTGAGCGATTCACTTATGTACAATGTACGTTCCCCGGGGCACATCGTATCAATCTTAATTTATAACAAATGTAATATGGTTGTTTTTATCGCGACTCGCCCGAAAATGAAGCCGAATATCTCCAAGGATTTGAGCCTGTCACATGACGACGGAACATATGTTTAGTTCTCTCATGCAAATGTGCAATGTGGGTGTGGTTTGTGGGCGTGGCTGGTGGTTGATTACTGCTACGCTTTGCTCTGTGTTTTTCATTTTTTTATTTTTTTTTTTGCTCTTGTGCTTTCCTCGCTGCCTTTCTCTGACCTTGCTGCGCCTGAATTGTGAAATTCGGCAATTCTGCGTGCCTGACATTGCGTAAAGGCTCGTAAATATGCTATGGGAAAAACTGAAGGAAAAAAATACAAGAAACGTGTACTGCAAACACACACTTAAGTGATTTTATGGCGCCGTTTGAATGGTTTTCAAATCTGCCAAACGTGAAACATATAAATGTGTGTGCTTCCTTTCCCCAGAGACTTAGCCATAAATTTGCAGCAGCGCTTTGCCACCTAAATGTAAGCTTTTTGAGATCTCTGAAATGTTTGCAGCACACCTGTACTCGTGTCGAACATGGTGGGAGGTGTGTGGGTGTGGGGTATGTCTGCGTTGAAATGCGCTTAACAGCAACAAGTAGATGGACGCGACCAGGCAGATTGTGGAAAAAATTGACAAAAAAGCGACAGGAAGTTGAAATGGGGTTTGGTGCACAAACAATTATACGACTTTGGGGTTCCCTATGATTTATGAGGAACTCATCGAAAGCAATCTTAACCTCATTACTGGCCACGTTAACTAAGTAATGATGAAGGCCTTCAGATGAATATAGTATTCACTAAATACGATTATTATTAACCCGGATTTAGATGGGCGCTTACAGAAAAATTCTATATTCATCTGAAAACCTTCTTAATAATCTGAGATAGTCGATAGGTGATTGTTTTAATCTATTGCCTGTCAATCAACATTTGATCGCTGTCAATCAATTAGAATTCGAATTAGAATTGAATGCTAGCTAAACTCTTGACACTGTATTCTAGGAACAAATACAATGTATTTTTGTCAATTTCGTTACAAGGTATAAATGCGGGCTTACTTTTTTGTGAATTGTTGTCTGCGGCTTATCTGCGTTGTCAGAAGCAGAAGCACTGGCATCCTATCAGCAACTGTTGATTTGCTTGGACGGCCGGCCAATTGATGGGGGGGGGGGAGGAGAGTGAAGTGGAATCGTGTTGATTCAACGCTTGATTGACTGCCACTGTCGGCTATTAAGGGCAGGTGGGGGGGCTGGGTGGTGTAGGCCAAAAACCAATTGAGGTTGAAGTATGGCATACTCTGATTGCCATGCCTTAGATAAATAAATTATTTTGTTAGTTGAATGAATCGCAGATAAACCACAGTCATGTTGGCGATAATTTGAATGAAACAAAGCGAATGTATTTCCGAGTGTAACTTTAAATGCATTACATATTTGGCATTTGGCAAAATGGAAGTTTAACAAACTTAACTTGAGTGTAAGTCTATTTCAATTTGGCATTAGACATTTCACAACTTGATGGCTTGCCCCCATTATCTTCATAACAGCAGGCTTTCAATTATATACGGCTGCCTTCTAACAATAAGTATACGCAACGTATGCCACCTGAATTGCTGTATTGTTGTTTTGTTTACTTAGGCTTTTGACGGCTGTTGTAGTGTTGGCAGCAAAGTCGCTTGTCAATATTTACGCTACGAAAATAATGTATAAATAATTGCATGTCACTCGCTGACAAACAGACGCACATTTACCCCAAATACATACTTGTATTTGTATTTGTATTTGTATTTCATGCTTCCTTTTGAGTTGAGTTGAGCTGTGCTTTTTATTTAGGTGTTGATAGCTCTTAACACTGCAGCTAATCGGCCTCTAAGTCTCACCTGTCTGATTTGACATTAGCATAATGACAGACCACAATATACTCAATATACCCGCAATAATTACGGCTATCTACATAAGCCAAAAAAAAAATACAAAACAAAACAACAATAGACACGCCAGTGGCCCATTAAAATGTGCCCACACATGAGGCATAGGGGTAAAACCCACAAATTCCTTTTATGTCATATTAAATTATGAACATGAATATATGAAATATATAAAATCAATACATGACCATGCTGAATTAATAATTAACACTGGCTGGTTGAAAACTGTCAACACGTGTCGCCCAAAGGACAGAGGCTGGTGGAACTGAAGGCAGAGGCACTGACGCAATTGCAGTTGACAACGCATCTTAATTTATGCGGAATACAATAAAGAAACCCAATTACCAACGAATTGGTTTAATTAAGCAGTCAGCGTTGGCCAACCGACGTGTTGGTCAGCGAACGTAGCCAGAAGCGATGGCTAACAATTATGTGAGTGGGTTTTGGGCAGGTTGCGCTGCTCTGTGAGAAATGACAAGCAAAAAATTGGCTGACAATGACACTTATTGATATTGACAAAGGCAAGAACAGCAGCCGTATATTTTGCACATTTTAATTCTTTAATGTACTAGGAATAGGCATACCTTATATAAGGAGTAATAAACTACCAGAGAACATTTCTAAATTATATAAAGTGTTTGCCAAACAATAAACAATATTTTTGCTATTTAATTTAGAACTCAACTTTGTTTAAGGCAACAACTTATAATTAATTTATGTTTTTCCCGTGTCTGACCCAAAAAGTAATAAAAATATATATTCTTAATCAACATCACTAGCTGAATCGATATAGCCCTGGCCCTCTTGGATCTATCGGTCTTTTTGCTGAAGGAATTACATGATCGGATCGGATCGGTCTGTTATATAACTGCCATAGTATATATATAGATGTAGACACTTTTTATATATAAGTTCAACCCTATTCAGATTCAGATGGCAGCATATTAACTGCAGTCAACAAGTCTGTGCAATCTTCTGCATACCTTTCTTGCTTTTTTCTAATTATATTAAAAATAATATAGCAATATTTGGGTATTTCGAGAAGGAACCACTTAATTTATTTAACTTTAGGAAGCCCATTAATCTCGCGGAGTGTAAAATTAAAAGTGTTAAGCCAATCAAACGAGTCTACACCTTTTGCAAATATGCATCTTGGGAAAAGTTTGCTAAAGCAACTAGTCGAAGCAAGCGCTTAACTCAGTTTATAAACATGCCACTAACCTCCCGCGCCACATGTTGAACTAAGGGGGTGGGGGTGGGGGTGGGACCAACGTGTGTCGCCGACATGTCTGCAAAATGCGAGTTTGTCGCCCTGTTTGATATTGTTGGTGTTCTTATTGTTGCTTCTGCTGCTGTTGATTTTGCGACTCATAAATCACAAACATTTTGAGCGTGCAAAATTAATAAAAAGAAAACGAGCAGGACGGATACAGAAAGAGAGACAGAAAGTGAGTGAGAGAGAGAGAGAGGGGTAGACGGAACGGTTTAAAGCAGAATTTCAAGCAGAAAGCAAAGCGCAATAAAAAGTTTTTGATTTCGGATCTTTTTATTTGTGTGCGCGCGGGTGAGCAAACAAAATTACAAAAGCCAGACGAGCTGACGACCGACCAAACGAGACGGGTGAGCCGACGGAGGGTTAGAGGGATTGAGAGGTGTGCTGGGAGGGTGAGAGGAGAGTGACAGCTTTGGCCGGGCGAGCAGACAGAACGGAAACGGAAGTGCGTAATGCCATACGTGTCCGTAACCGTAGCCAAAGCGATGTCGCGGTTGTTGCTGCGGTTCTTTTTGCTTTTTTATTTTGTATTCACGTGTATCCATATACATTTGAGCAAGGTGCAAACAGTATTTTGATTAATTGCAGACATGAAACAGCAAAGAACCACAACAGCAGCAGCAGCAACAACAACAACACTGTGAGTCAGCGGCTCTGGCTGACTTCATTGGTTGTTGGGCCATGAAACAAAAGCCACAGGCCACACTAAATATAAATCTAGGCAGCCATAAAAGTGCAATAAAGAAAAAGGTGTTTTTTGCTTGTATTGCCTTTTAACTCGCCGGACGGGGCAAAAAAAAAGGGTTTTACAGCCTAACAATGAAATGCTGACTTGATATATTTGATAAAAGTCCTCTGTTCATTTACCAGTTTGTCAAGTTTGGACTAAAAAGATTTAAATAAATAACAAAACATGGTCATAAAAATGTGATGGGCTGCTTATGTACAATGTCCTCAGAATATATAAAACTCCAATACAAAACTTTGTCCCCAAATAGGACTGGAAGTCATCATTCGAGTTATGACTAAGGATGTTATGATATTTCGACTGATAGTCTAAGCTGATTTATACAGTTAACAAAACGTTAAAAAGAGCTCAAATTACGACCAAGCTCAAATATTAGTTCGGATAGAAATAGGAATAAATTCATCAAAATTGTCATAAATTCTGTACATTGTTTTGTAGATGAATTCACTAATTTACTTTATAAGTCGAAAATACAACACATATTTTGCAATTTCACTTTTTTACTTGTGCTTAATTCGATAGCTGCAGTTACCAAAGAGGATTTACTTATCATCAGTATCAGACTTATATATAAAATATGTTGAATATAAAGTAATCTCATTTTGTTTGTGCTCTGGTCCACTACTTAAACTAAGCTTACTAATTATTATAAATATTATAAGCACTTAAGCATCTTTGGAAAAAAGCTCCACAAATATAATTAATGCCACAAAGAAACGATTTATATTATTTAAAATTTGAACATATTAAACCAATTTGAAACAATTGTGGATTCCTTTTTGTCTTAAGCACCTTCTATTTTTATTTTCTTGATGATTATAAATGATCATATAAAAGAACTGAATGTGAACCTCATGAATACATATTTGGGTTGCATTGACAGCGAGCGTAGAGAGTTTTAATTAAAATTAATTAGAGTGGTTAAAACATTTTAAAATGGGCAA